AACATGGAAGAAGACCAAAAATTATTTGTAGTCAGGTAATGAAAAATATGTATAAATTTAAAAAAAATGAAATAAATAGAAAATGGATTTCTTGCTGTATGTATGTATGTATGTATAAATGCGCAAAATTATTGTAAAGCACGGAATGTTTTTAAATTGCTTAAGGTTGGTTAAATAATCGGTTCTTCTAAATTTTAATTGTCTGCATGCGATATTTGTTTTAATATATTTATATTAAAAATATAGAGCACATGCAGTAATAATGGTGACCTGAGTACAAATTTCACTAACTTCCTATCTGACCGGCATTTAGATTTAAAAAATTGTTGATTCTACCATGCAAATTTGATATTCTTTTCAATAATTCCGTAATTGAATAACGAAATTAACAGTTATATTTACATATCTACGTAATATATATATGTATATATAGGCAGAATCTACTTACCGTTTATAATTTTCATTTACCGGAGAAACTACATATGTATATTTATGAAAACTTCGGAGATCAAGTGTCCCGCATAATTCAGTTGAATTTAATCCTCTGAATTCACTCCAGTAGCTAAGTGTGTATTAAGCTTTAGTTAATGATTTCTTTATTCAAAATTCATAATTATTAAATTTATTCTCTTTCGGCAAAATACCTACAAAGTTGTTTGTAGCTTTCTGATTCGGTAATATTTTAGCTCAATTCTAAAGTAAATACACTTTTATCACCTCTTTTCAACACTTCACAAATTATTACAAAATCCAAGACTTTATTTTTCAAATGAAATCCTAAGATTATTGATGTTTCCTGGAACTTTATTTAATTTTTATAAATCTATAAATTTCGAAAATCACTAAAACAAACTTTGACCGTTCTGTACTGTATATACAGTAAAACACGGTTAAGTGGATCACGCTTAAGTGGATTTCACGCTTAATTACATCAAATTTTCGTGGCTTGTACTTTTTTCGATTTTTTCATATAAAAAAATTCGTTTAAGTGGAATTCGGATAAGTGCACAACACGCTTATATGCACATACATTTTTTCCCTCATGTAATACTTAATATGTAAATTTATTCTGCTGCACATCCCTGTTTTTATTTAGCATAAATGTCAAAAATGAAAAACTACACTCTCAACTACAAAATAAGAAAAGCAACACTATGTAGCTACACAAAATATTTTAGTTTCTGTCATTGTCAAATTTTGAGTGTTGAAAAATTAAAGTTTAGAACCAGTTTTTAATAAATTCAATTCTTTGACATCGGAGGTAATTTTTTAAGTCGAATTCGTATAAGTGGAAAATACGCTTTAGTGGACAAAATTTTCTTGGCTGATCGATTTCCACTTAACCGTGTTTTACTGTATAAATATTGCCGTGACAAGAACATCAATGACACAAAAAAATCATAAAAATTTTATTTTCCATTTTATTAAAACGCAGGCACGTTTACATAATTATTTAACTACACTTAATTAAGTTTAAAAGAAAGGTGTTCAAAAACACTAACACATCAATATAAATTTCATTTCAAGGAGAAAAAAAGTATAATAAAAAAAATTAATTGAAAATTCAATTTTCTTAACATTTTCTTTTTTATAACTTAATTTTGAAGTTCCCTTTGATTAAAAAGTAATGGGTGTGTTCCATTTAGGGTCCATTAAAATCTAATTTAAACAAATGTTAGGTTTATAACAGTGCAACATAAATTATACCAGTTTATAAAAATACCTGTGTTTACACAACGAATTTTGCATCCTTCATCAGCACTCACTCTGAATTTATTGTTTCTTCAATCAATTTGCTTCCGAACATAAAAGTGCATAAATTTGATGTAAAAATTTAAAATTCTCTCATTTTATAAATTTTTTGCGTGGAATATGACGATTCGATTCAATCTCAACTTTAGTTTAAAAGTTTGGCCAAAATGTTTTTGCGAGAGAAATAAATTCAATTCAAAATATCAGTTCAAATGAAAAAAAGTGATGAATCCAACATATAAAACTAAAATAATTATAATTTGTAGAGCTAGAATTGATATATTATATACTGTGGTGGAATATTAAACTTTCATAGAGTGTTATATAACTTCAAATGGAACACAAACATTGTTATATTTTTATATTGTTTTTTTCTATACTTCTGAAAACTTTTTTTTTTAATTTATTTTCTTTCGTTTTCAATATAATATTGAATATTTGAGTAGATAAATGGGTCCCCAGACCATCATTAATTATGTGTAAAAATGAAAAGAAAATTCCAATAATTGACATAACAACTACATTAAAAGTTGTTGACCAATGGTTTATGAATTCTTTGTGCTATTAAAAGTTATTTTTTGGTTCCCTTTTCTTCACGTTTCTTGTTTTTGTTTAGTTTTACGGTTTTTAAATGTACAAGTATCACAATATCAATGCAATTGTGGTATCCCCTTAAGTTCATTAAAATCGATTTTTCATTTAAAAAAAAATTCTTTTTATTTTCTTATGCGGTCAAGTTGACTTTCATTTTTCCTTTGTTATTTTCTGTTGGTTCAATTCAAGGACATGTTCTGTCAGAAGAATAACATATACATGGGCTGTTATACAAATACAAACGTTACTGTTATAATGTTAATAAAAAAAATTAAAATTTTGCATTTTATTATTCTATGTGAATATTGCTGGGTTATAAGTTTAGAACCGTGTTTCTCAACCAGGTGCATCGAACCTCCCGAAAATGTTTCTCAGAGTAAATTGTTAAAGAATATTTTCTTTAGTTTAGTAATTTCTTTAGTTTTCTTAAGAATATGAGAAAATTTACTTTTAATGTTAATGGAAGCAATCTGTTATTTTTTAATATGACATTTTAATAATTGATAGTGTTTCAAACAAAATGTCAAACTTTAGCAACATGATGTAAACTACATTTTTGATTGTAAGCTTTTGCGTTGCCAATTTCAACATAACAAAAATATCTGAATTTCTGTAAGCCGTGGTTGCGAGTCATGCGATATAAAATTTTTTAATAAGAAATTCCAAAAAAGTTTGAAAAGAAAAGTGTCAGATAGCTATTTGGCAGTTTGTTTTAGTTTAACAATAATTTTAGCTTCAATATAAATTTAATTCGTAACTTTTATAAAGAATTTTTGAAAGTTTGAATAAAAACAAAATCATATTTTAATCATTTGTTTCTAAACGCATCCAGGACAATTATAAATGGGAGAAATGAAAATAAATGGATGAATAATATTTTAATAAAACGGTACCGTATTGGAAATTATTTTATGCACTGAAAACTGTAAAAGTTTTAGATCCATTAGCTTAGAAATACAGAATTTATTTACATTTTTATTCTTATTTATATTAAGAGAAAATCTTTTACATATTTAATTAATTTTATTAATCAGTCAGAATTAGAGCGATCCTGGACAGCGTAATGGCATTATAGCATAATACTAGCAATAATTGTTTTTGGTACCCACATACTTGCTTTTAAGTCAAATTGCAAGTAAAATATTGAACCATAAAACTTTTAGTTCATCAATTCAGTTACATTAAAAAAACGGTAAATAATTAAAATTAAATTTTAAGTCACCTAATTGTTTATTATCTCCAGATTATATCTAAATTCATACATATGTTTTTAAATTGCTCAGACATTGTATGTTGAAATTAGAAGCAAATAATGTACTTGGAAGGTGTTAAGTATTTTTAAAATATCTAAGAAAATTTCATTTTGAATGCATACAAAATTAAAGGAATTTAAATTAAATCCAGGATCAATCGACCTTATCTTGTAAAATTATACAATTTAATTTTATTCACATTCAACAAAATTATATCAATTTTCCTCGAACATGTAAAACATATTCTAATACACTATAACTTTTAAGAATTCCAGGATGTTTTTTACATTCATTTTATATCGTTAAATTTTATGTTAAATATATTATAACGGAGATAAAATGAAAGAAATAATAATCACTCCGTTTAATTGACCTATAAAAGAAGGAGGAAAGTGAAAAATCAGTATAAAATTTCAGTATGTTTTTTAATATTGATTTTTTCTTTTGAACAAAGAAGCACAATGTAATCCTTAAAGCCCTTTTGATTTGAAATTATGTTTTAAGCATATAGTAACGATGCTATTCATTCGTTCTTATCACGTACATATTCACGTAAATAGTATGACGTGATTTTAGAGCTCGAAATGTTTTGATTATATATTTCAAGTTACATAGTTAAGCTGCAGTAAAATCTTTTGGAATATTATGCTTAGCAGCGTTTTTTATTTACAATTTAGCTCAAAATTTAAACGAATTCTTGATTTAAACTGTCCATTGTAAGGTGTTTAATTAAAATATGAAAAACTTCTTGTATTGACACTTGTACTCCTCTTGTACTTCAGAAATACTTGTCCTACTTCTAATGTATTTAAAAATGATTTTTAATTTTTCAGCTTGTTTTAATCGAAATCAATAATTCTGATGCACAAGTGTATTATATAAATTCTTAGCCGAAATTCTCTGTAATGGGCCATGCAATTCTAAAACATTTTAAAGAATTTTTACTGTAATCTCTGAAATATTTTAAATTCTTTATTAACTAGTTAATAGAAATTAAGATATGTTTAAATATTTTGCTTAAATATAATGTACTAATTCTTCATTACTAGATTCTATGAGTTAAAAATATGTCCCAAGCAGAGAAAATTCGGATTCAAGTACGTAACTCAATAACTGTGAACAGTACAACTTAATGAAACTCAATGAAATAACTATAAATGTTACAGGTTTTGATTGATGCTCATCCGATACTAAAATAAATTAATCAATTTACTTGCTTTGTTGATTCCACAATTAGATTATTGGCAATTTCTTCTTCTAATTCTGATAATCCAAAAAATTTCCATTTAAAAAATCCTTAACCATTTTTAATGTGATATGTATTCTAAAAAATATAAACTTCATTTTGCCTTATTCCTTTTAAAAAAAGTTTAAATAATAAATTTATTTATTTGCTTTCAGGTTTTTGTATAACGAACGACATTGATGTTTATTTAAATCATATGAATAATGCTAGATATTTACGTGAACTAGATTTTGCTCGAGTTGATTTTTATGAAAGAACTGGTCTATATAAAGTAATTGTTTCTAAAAATGGCACTATTGTTCAAGGAGCAACAACAATACGTTACAGAAGATTTATACGAGTTTTTTCAATTTTTAAAATTGCATCTAGGGTATGTAAAAAAAATTTTTTTTGTTATTATAAAAAATTAATAATTGTTATTGTATGTACATATAGAGAAAAGAGATTATTTATTTATTTCGAAATTTAATCCTTTCACAAATTAAAAACCTACAAAATCCTTATTTTAGATTTTTCATTCTGAAATAAATATTCAACTGCACACGTACGCACATTTATAAATTGTAAATTGTTTTTTAAATTTTTTCTTATTTTATTTTTAGGTAATTTATTGGGATGAACAATCAATATATTTAGAGCATCGATTTATAAATCCAAAGGATAATTTTATACATTGTATTGCAGTTTGTAAACAACGTTTAATTAATTGTTCAGCTAATGAAGTAATGACAATATTATTAAGCCGAGAAAATCATAAAACATTACAATCACCAACAGCATTAACAAAATCAATTCATTCACAAAATTCTGTACCAACAACTAATGGTACAACAAATACAACATCAGAAACAAATGGAACAGCTAATGGTAATGATGTTCATAATAAAAATGGGAGTGCAACCGAAACTATTGTTATGCAACATGATATTAGTCGTATTGAAAATGGTGATATGACTAAATTTAAACCAGAAATTCCAGCTGACATTTTAAAATGGATAGAATATAATGAAATATCAAGTAGTAATTTAAAAAAATTAAGTAATAATTGCTGACCATAAAATTAATAATATTAAAAGGGTATACTTACACGATCCTATATATTTATAAATATAACTAATGTTCGTGTATGTTTATGGTTAAAATAATTGAAGGTAATCAGGTCCACTATATAATATGTAATTATTATATAGTGTAGTGACATTAAGGATTTAAGGATCTTCAATATAATTCTATATATATTTTTAAAATATATTATATGGCAAATCTTAAAATTATTAATGTCATGAAATAATAATGATTTGCATTTATAGAAATAGGGAGTAGAAAGAAATAAAAACAAAAAAATGCTTATGAAATGGGCCCAGAATATTTGAGAAAATGTATGTATATGAGCTCGAGGTTAAGGGTTAAAATCATGACTGATGTTAAAAGATTGTGATAATGTAAGCTGGAAAAAATGGAATTTCCAACAAATTTCTATTATATTAGCAAGTTTTTTTTTAATAGAATACAAAATTTAAATCACTAAAATTTTAAAGAAATAAATTAGAAAATATTAGGACATTTTAATAAATATAATTCAAAATCGAATTTAATGTAGATTTTTCTAAGTAAAAAAAAAAAACTCAAAATTTAAATTGTATTTTATAAAAATTTTGCCTGTTATTTTTTTACTATGCTTATTATAAAATAAAAAAAAAAAACATTATTAAAGTAAATTTAACGCGATATTGTGTAACGAATTTAGACTATATTCTATTTAGTACATATAAAATGTGCTAACCGAGATAATGATTAATGTTGTTCTGATTTCTTGCTTCGAATTCCGAAATTCGTATAGTTTTACGAGGTAATTATCTGATACTCATAAATGTTCGTATTACCAATTTAAATTTTTTTAATAATTTCGTTGTTACTATGATTATATAATTAACCACATTAGGTATACAAATACAAAATAGTAATTTGTTGGTATTATAAAAAATTTCCTTATTTAATTTTTAAAATAATTTGCGAAACACATTTTCATTCTTTATTTTCATTAATCTGTTTTAAAAAGTGAACTTATTGTGAATTTTAATTTATTACTGTGAATTTTCTGTTAAAAATTGCAGAATGTGTTTTCTAATATACGTATTTTTTATAAGTCAGTATTGTGTTGTTTGCCTGTGTATATTTTTCATCAAATATATTATTTGTTATATTAAAATTATAACAGTTTTTTATACCGATAGAAATTCATACATTCTTTTTAAAAAATTTTAAATAATATGGTGTGCGTCTTTAATTGGTTTGAAAACAAAATAAGTGGTTCACGTTCATGATTACATATTTACTTGTATATTATGCTCTTATTGTTATACATTAAATTAGGAAATTTTTATTATTTTGTTCACAATAGAATTTTTAATTAATTTTTAATAATTTCTTATTTATTAAAATATAAATTTCTTATTATAAAATTTAAATGCAACAATACATATTTGTTTTTCTAATAACCTAATCTGGCTGAATATTTGTCATAATAGTTTAGTTTAAAAATTTAGCGCTTGCTATAGTTTTAAACTCTTGTTTAGTAATATTATTTTGGTAATTTATATCCCAGTGATTGTATCACAAAATTATTCAAAGGCATGATTGAATTGAATTTTATATATTAGGCACAAATTAAGAAATCTTATTTGTTTAATCAATTTATTTAAAACTATAATTTAGTCATATAATTTTGTAATTGATATTTAAATATTAATCTTGTGATCATAAAATTTTAGGGTCGAATTTCCATTATTACATGCATATTAAAATCTATATAATTAATTTCAAATTTAAAATAATTGTTAACTATTAGATTATAATATATAATTTATAGATCAAACCTAAAAAAGAAGTATTTCAATTATTAAAACAACAACTGCAATGTAATTAATTTTAAAAAAATTTATGTAATATTTTTTTTGTATAAAAAAATGTTTAACTAATTATGTATTATTATAAATTTTTTTAATTTTTGTAAGATAATAATCATTATATAGTATTCTTATTACCAAAATAAGTATTTTAAATAATGACAGAGTTGTAAAATTTTGAAAATATTTACGTAATAAGCTAATGAGTAATTAATTTTTAGAACAGGGCTGTATATTTTTATAGAATTATATAATTTAAAATTTAAAAATGATTATTCAAGTGATTATAATATAAATTATATTAAACAAAGAATACTCTCTAGTATATACTACATAAAATACAAGTATATACTATCATATTTTTCTAAATTAAATATTTTACATTGTACCTTCTCTATCACTATTTAAATATACCTTTGTTAAAATTAAATTTTTAATTAAAAAATTTTTATAATTCTGTCATTATATTCGTATAATACTCTTCTGTATTATTAAATAAATTTTAACGAAACTGTATTATAATTTAATTTATAAAGATTATGTATTTATTTTTTTAAAAGTATTTTGGTAAAATCTGTATACTTATTAAAAAGTATTTAATATCCCATATAAAAATAATTATAAAAATTGTAATTAAAATGTAATTATTAAAACAATTCAAAAAAATAGCAAAACATTAGATTAAAATTCTGTATTTTTAACAATATTAGAAAAACAAAATAAAAAATCATTGTTAAAACAAAAAATTACTAGTCCCCGAGAACTTAGGAATTAGTTTTGGAAATGATATACATATAGGTAAATTATATTATGTTCAAATTAAAATGATATTTAAAATGATATTAATATGTGGCCATTAAGGGTTATTAATTAAAAAAATTAAAAAAAAAAAAATGATATTAAAATGTGGCCATTTAGGGTTATTAATTATTTAGAAGTAATCCAAAAACGAAAGAAAACAAAAAATAGCAACCAAAAGTAAAAACATACTGAAATCTTAGGAATGTGAACGATTTAAATGAATATTTGTGTTTAAATAAAAAACAAAATGAAAATAAAGATATTTAAAAAGAATATAGAAAAAAAAATTAAAGTAAATAACTAAATTCAATAAAAATTAAATAAAAAATTATTTGGAATTTTACTTTTTTCTTTTTCAACAAAGATTTTGAATACTATTCAGAAGGTAAATAAATTTTGAATCCTATATAGGATGTCCAGGATTCGGTGGAGTATACAATAAGTACTTACCTATCATATTTTTCTAGTTACCCATAAAAATATAAGAAATAGACAGTTTTTAGACATTCCAACTTTAAGGCCTTATAACTTGAGAAGGAGGTCCAAAAAAGCATTCTATCATTCTACCTCGGGAGTTCCGACTCTAGAGTCTCGGGCAACTTCTATATATCGTTTTTCATATATAAGAATTGCTTGTAAAATTCCTGTTGTTTCTGAAAAACTAAATTTCAAATATAACTTGCATAGTAGTAATAGTGTTGCAAAAGTAATGTGATATTTTCTGAAAAATGTAGGTAAACTCATATTTAATACTCCTAACAATAATTAAGAAAGCTAATGAAGAGAATAATTATACAATATTGCTTTGTAATTACTACTATAGCAGACAGCAGGTTTTCTTTCAATTACCAATTACATGAAATAAATTGTTTTAATTATAACAATTCATTACCGTTCTTTTGAATTATTTTGCTAATACAAGAATAAGTATTGCTCACAATAATATTATGAATTTATTATACTGTCATACTACCACTATATAAGCAGTATTATTATTTCGAAATTTAATTTTGAAATTCGAAAAGGTATATCTTATTCACCATTTCTCTCTAATTACTTATTGTAGTCATTTTATTATACGTCAAGTTGCTTTTCATTTCAAATTAAATTCATATTAAAGCACAATGGGATTTTTTCTCTTTATACCGGCAAATTTTTGTTTTTACCTGAAATCTGAATTGTGCTGTGTCGTGAACTATACATACTGATACTACAGTTTTTGCCTTCAAAAACAATAATTAATTAATACTCTTCACAAATACATTCATAATATTTTATATAACAATATAAATGTATAAGTATAAAATTAATTAATACTTTAAGAAAATTTTAAGCTTTTCGATATTATATTTTGTTTTTTTTTTTTTTTTAAACAAGTAAAGCTGTCATGTCATTAAATTTTTACCTTTTAAAATTTTCGAATTAAACATTTTAAGAAGAGTTCAGTTTATAATTTGCTGCATAAGTGGAAGGTTCATTTGCGCATGATAATTTAAAAATAAGCCGACTAAACAATAATTATACATTAAAAAATATTTAAAATTTTTATAAAAAAAAACATAATATATAATTGAGGTTAAATTTCGTCTTATAGTGCTAACAATTAATTAAAGTATTATAAAAGGTAAGTTTGAAATTATAACCAAAAAATTTCAATTTTTAATATTTATTATATAAGCGTTTTCTTCAAAATAAATGTATGTATAACAGTAAGTTATAGGGTCATAGTAACAGAAAATATAACAATATGGTAATATTATGTTAATATATATTTATAAGTATATACAACGTACCAAAGATAGTCAAACTTTACAAAATATTTTATTATTACAAAATCAAATTTGATACGTGTTTGATATAGGCACACAATATGTACATACATTATGTATACATATCCATATATGTGTTATATTCGTATAAGGAAAACCAGTTTGTTTTTGAATGAATGAAGAAGTTACAAATGAAAATAATTTTTTGTTGCTGTGATATACATACTTACATACATATATGAACTTGTAGTAATAATAATATTACATTATTAATAAAATTATTATAAGTCAGTGTAATACACACATAAATTTTATTATTATTGTTGATATTTTGTAATAAATTGTAAATTCATTAGGTATGAAAATTAAATTTCCATATATGCAGGCTAGGTGTTGTTAAAAATTGAATAAATATAGGTACTATAATTGTAATTAACAAGAAATAAATATGTAGGTCATAATATGTAAATGATGGTAGTAGTAGTAAGAGAAGGGAGCCTCAACAGTCACCCGCGTGAAGCCCATGCGCTAGGCCAACAGAAAGGGCCCATCGGCAACCCCCAAATGATGGTAAAAAATAAACGTGCGGTGAAGAAGATATTTTTGTCTCGTCATATTTTTACTTTGAAAATTTCCACTCATTTGCTGCAACAGTGACATAAGTTATTCTAATTAGTGAGTTATTTATGCAGAGATAGGCCAGCACTTTAAAATTACTTTTACTCAAATTTACAAATTTTGAGTTAGGTCAGTGTTGTAACAAACGAAAATTAAAATTAGTTATGCATCGATCTAAAATGAAAGTGAAAGTTTGAATTTTCTATAGCATAATGTAAAATTAACTTTTTTTAAATCAAAATCATGGTAACACTAGAAACTCTTTTCGATTTAATATATTGCATAAATCTAGTGGTTATTAATGTTATTATTACAATCACTGCCATTACTATACTCGAAATCACTGGCCTGACTTTGAAATGGCACACGTTCTTTTATTATTTCAGCTATAATATTGCCACATAACTACATAAAATTGTAGCTCTAACCATCTCGAACCGATTACGCTAAGTGGTACGGTGTATTAACAATTTCTAGTGCATTAACATTTTCATGTAGTGTATTCAAAATTTCTATTACAACAAATCAGATGATTTTTCATTTCACATAAGCTTTATGCTAAGATTAAAGAAAGTGTTATTTTAGTTTTGATAAATTTATTGATCAAAATTATCTAACAAAAATTTTTTTTTGTTTTCTACTTTTTTATATTATAAAAAAAATTGATGGGAATTTAAAACTTTCCTCATTTTTTGCTAGTTATTTTATTTTTTTATACTACTACGATTTTTATGATTTTATTTAAAAAAAAAAAATTTTGATTTTACCTACTTTCCATTAGTATAGTTTCCGAAGTTCAAAGATTCATAAACTTTAAAAACGATTTGGAAATAAATTAAAATTTTTCTTGTTTTTTTTTTTCTTGCTTTTATATTTTTAATTTTAATTCGAAAAGTATTCAAATTGCTTAAATTATACTAAGTAAGTTTAACGTAGAAAACTTCTAAAGGGAAGTAAATACCTTTGCATATATGAATAAAGATTTCTGAAAATATTTGTAATTTGTCGAAATTTAAAATATAAAATAATAAAAAATATTTTTTTTTTATGAATTTCAGAATAAAATAATGTCTTGGCTTGTAACATTACTCATTCTTTATATTATTTGGGATGTTAATTATTTTATAAGATGCGTTTTTACCGTATTTGCTGGCAGATTATTTCAAAAGAAACGTAAAATTACAGATAAAACATCAATTTACAGTGAGTATACACATGGGTCTTACTCTGAGCATCGTATCACTGAGTAATAATTATCGTAAAAATTTCGATATTATTATTGTAAACACAAACCAATATATACAAATGATTTGTGCCTATAATAAAATGTTTGTAACATTTACAATGAATATCACTATCTTTAGTAATTCGATGCTCATAGAACAAGCGCCCAATATTTCTTTTATTAAATAGAAATTGACTAATTTTTTTTTTTTTTCAATTTTTAGGTATTTGTACATCACAAGATGTTGACATTTTTATACGGCATATGAATAATGCACGTTATGTTCGAGAACTTGATTTTGCTAGATTTCATTATTATGCATTAACTGGTTTATATGAAGAAATTCGAAATGGTGGTGGTGGTGCTGTACAAGGTGCATCAAGTGTACGTTATCGTAGAACAATACCAATATTTCATCCATATCGTATTGAAACAAAATTAGTATGGTGGGATGAAAAAGCAATATATATTGAACAACAATTTATAACATTAGCTGATAATTTTGTAAGAGCAGTAGCATTATCAAAACAATGTATTACAAAAGTTAATGTTATGGAAATAATGAAAAAATTCCCAGAAGGTGCAAATAGGCCAGAAATGCCAGAAGAATTTAGATTATGGTTAGAAGCAATTGAAGTTTCAAGTCAAAAATTAAGAAAAGATAATTAGTTTAAATAATGAAAAATTATGTATAATTTTGAATTAAGAAGTAAATTTTAAAAAATATTAGGTGCTTATATTAGACAAGAGACTTGTTTATTATGTATATATATATATGAAATTTTGTGTCAAAACATTTTGTATGATAAATATATAAGTGAAGGGATGTTTTTATTATTTTTTATAAGAATAATTGCATTTTATTATATTTAAGATGAAAATTTAGTTGTAATGATAGAATTTTATAGAAAATTAAGAAGCAATTAAGATTGTGCTCTTAACAATTTCTGTAGCAATACCGAATTAGTTGTCCCTACATATTTACAAAAATCATATTTAAAATACAATTCACACGCATTCAGTGAATAGCATCAGAGATTTAGAATACAAGAGCGTTCGTGGTAGTCAGATGATTAATAAATTCTACAAGTACTATTAAAATTAAATAAATTTAAAATAATTTTGTAGAAAACAAATAATATGAGATTGAAAAGTAATTATTCTAGGAAAATATTACAATTTTACTTTTCTTATTAAAATGTTTTTTATTATACGGAAATTCTTTTAAATCCTTTCGAAAATATTTTTAAAGAATTTTGTTCATGCGATAAACAATGAGATTCTAATGAAATTTAGCACATGCACATGCTTTTATTTATTTTTCCTCAAAAAGAAGTTTTTCAGAACTTGTTGCTTTGCCTTTGAAATTCAATTATTATTTACTTAATATTTTTCATTTTGTTTTTAATTCAGATTGCAATATTATGGAAAAGTTATTCTTTTTTTGTTTAATTTTTAAAAATAACATAAAATGAATGTTCTAAAATTTGATTATCTTTCTTTGAATATAAAAATAAATTTTATTTTTGCTGTTTTTTACTTTTGGTGTTCTATTCATCTTCTGTACTCTTATCAGTTTGAATTTTAAGAAAAAATTCTTACAAAAATATTTTAATCTCAACATACTCGTACATGATATTCAAGATGAAGTTTTGTTGGAACGATTTCATAATATTCATACATAATCTATAGTATTGTGAAAATGGTATAGAATCAAAATTTCCCTCATCAGTTACAACAATTGAAAAAGCAGTTAATAAAATAAGCTGGTAATTTTCAGAATTCTTACATGTTAATTTATTGAAACAAATTTACCAACTTTCTTTAATGTGCTTTTAATAGTCTTTATCATACTTTTAACTACGATCAGCCTGGAAAAATTTCAGTTAGAGTAATTCTGCCTGAAAAGTAACTTAAATATTTTCGGAATGAGATAAAGCCAAATTATATAAACCTAATTTAACATTTGTCGCTTTAAATTTAATAGGTTAGTTTTTACTTCTTTATACTTATAACAGCTCTGTTACCACTAAGAAGTTCTTAGTAAAATTTTGCAAATGTTACGAAATTTCAGGCCTTATTTTTGAATTTAGTTATCTTAAAATGGACAGGAATAACTTTTTATATATTTGCAAATTTTCTGTCACAATTTCCTATTTTGTTAAATTTCTATTTTGAATTACTGAATATATATATAAAAAAATAAATAATTTTCACTTCAGATCCTTATTTTTCTTGGTACTAATTCTATTCTTTTCCATATTTTTCCATAATTTTCCTCGTACATGTGCTTATTGTTTGGTTTTACTCCTTTTCCTAAGTAAAAAATTATTTTTTTTCTTTTTCTCAGTTTTGAGCGTGAATTGCAAAATTCTTAAATTATTTTGTTTATTATTATTATTATTACATATTTACAATATACATATATACAGTATAACATACCAAAGTAGAATATACATAAACATCCTAAGTATATATAAGAAACTTTTCTTATTAAAATCTTTCAGATATCCAGACTGATAAAAATTTATAATATAGCGCAAACAAAAAGAGAAATAAAAAGGATAAATGTTTTGTAGAGAGAAAGTCAAGTTCAATGAATGAACATGTAAATGAATAAAATAATCATCGTGTGCTCCTACTCCTACTCCTACCTCCCAACATCTTACCATTCTTATTCAGTTTTTCATTGTAACTGTTTCATTAAAGATGAGAAAAAACAAGGAAATTTTGATTTAAATTTAAATTTGTGCTATAGAGCGTAGTCTAAGGAACTAAAGGATATAAAATGAAGGGATGGGGAAAGGTAATGGGCTATGAAAAAATATTTCAATTTAGTTTTAGTCTTACCTACTAATATTTGCAAAATTATTGTATAAAGTTATAAAATAATTAGTCATGTACACCGTTTATGCATCTTATAAAATCTATGTAATTGCGATGTATGAGACGAACTTTAAATACTGTGAGGTTGAATAAAATTATTCGCTAGGGTATGTATGTCGTGGGAATATGCATTTAAAGACAAAACTGGCCTCTTCTAATATACAAATACATTGTTTCTTTCTGCAAAAACAGAAGGGGTGACAGTTTCTATGACAAAATCTGTATCTACGACATCAAAAATATTTTTGTGAGCTCAAATTTGTCAGCACAAAACTGATATCTTTTACGATAAATTCTGTGCCTGCGGCATTAAAGAACATTTATTGGGCTTAACTCAGCAAATATAGCCGGATTATTCTAAATCCGTTGCTACGGAATTTAAACTATTTTATTTAGCCTTTCGCTATTTTTTTGTCGTTTTCTATTACAATTTTTAGATCCAAATGTTATTTCCTCACATTTTTTATCATAGAGCCTAAATATAAAATCTTTTATAGAAAAAAATTTTTTGTTTATCAATTTATTTTCAGCTTAAAATAAAGTTAAAATTATAATATGATTTTTTCTAACTAATGTTTTCTGAAGTAAAACACAGAAACAACAGTGTAAAAAAGACTTTTTTCGAAATTTAATTTGAAATGAAGGACGGAGGGTTTCATATCGGAAGGTTTCGTAAGAATGAGGAATTAAAATAAATAAAAATTTTTTATTCTCGATTTTTTTATATACTCATACGAGTAGAATAGAAAATTATATAAATAAAGTTAAATTTGAATTGTGCTGTTATAAGAAGGAGCAAAAAACGTAAAAATCTTCTTGCTCTCTTTGTTATCATGAATTCGAAAAGATTTTAGAAAGGCGTGAGTTGTTGTTTTGTTTAATTTTTCTTTCATAGGAAACTACTGAGACAGAAAAGGAGTTTAAAACTTTTGAAGATGATTTGATAATTTAAAATTATATTTTTATTATTTTTATTATGCGGCCGTGATGAAAGTTATGCAGATTTTTCCAACCATAAACTTGAAAAAAAGAATTTTATAAAAAGTCTCTTATAAATATGACAAAAGTAAAATGGAAATAAAGAGAAAAAAAATAAAAGTGGAAACAATTTTATATTTTGCATTTGATTTGGAAAATTTTATTGTCCTTAAAATTTTATTCAAAAACGCGGATAAATCTTTTAATGAAACAAAATTAATTTTAATCAAATTAAACTTTTAAATAAAAATTATTATCAAACTTTATTTAATGGTAAGGTGTTAATCTTTTCTTATGTATAGATAATGGTTATACTGAAATAAAAGGAAGATGAAAGCGTGTTACTTGCCATTATTGAGAAAACTTTTAATGTAAAATTGGCCATACTCACTTTAAGATTTACAATAGTTTAAACTAGCCTCCTAATAGTCATTTGGCACTAGTTAAACATAACTAACTACTGCTGATGTAGCAGGGTTAACTGCTCGAACTATATCAATAGTTTTTAGGACAATATGATCTGAGCAACAAGAAGTTTAATTGGGTCTGTGAAATTTTAAATATGGTTTTAGTGAGGACGGCAATCAATGGATAAATTATTTGAAATCATGTAGTGATCACATCTTATTTGATAAAGTATGAAATTTAAAACAGATAAGGAGGTTATTTTCAGTCTAAATGGTGTCAGTTGTGTCACAGTCTCATATGAAAGTACAATAAAATTTATTGGCAACACGTTATAGATGACAAGTTTGGGTGGAAGTTGTATTATAGTAAAGAAGAAGAAATTTCGTCTGGAACAAAAAATACAAAACAATTTAAATGAGTTCTGTGGAAAAATTCAATGCCGTCAGTGCTCAACAACATCCTAACGCAATTCTTAAATATTCTAAGCGCTCTGAGCTTAATATGTCAAATTCAAATGACATTTTATTTCTATAGCAGTTTATTAGAATAATTTTGAAAATCACTCCTATTCCTTTATTAAAATTATTCCAATAAAATATTAATTTAAAATTTTATCCTTATATAAATCTATAAAAATACATAAAATATATTTAATAAATCTATATATATAAAATTCATTACAAAATATCAAACAAAAATTGATAAACAAGTAAAATATAAAAGTGTCTAGAACGGAAGGAAATGACACATTGAAATGATAAAAATGTTTGAACATAAAAAGTATAGAAAATGTAGAAAAAAAAATCAGTTTTATTCAATATAGAAAGCATGTTATGTATATAGTCATAAAAATAGTAAAGATAACAGTAACACCTGTCAGAATGTTAATTGTGTACACATATATGTTATACAAATGTTTATATGTGCATTTGCAGAACAGATACGTACATAAGTATGTATGGCCCATGATCTATGAAACGTCTTAGATGAAAAAAGATAAAAGCTTTCCGGCAAACGGATGTAAAACATAAGAAATGACAAACTTTAGAGAAAACATTCATTACAACTAATATTGAATGATAAATATTAAATACACACATATCACCTAGTATGTACCTATATAACCTGTTATATGCTCAGCATTATGTGGTAAGGATAATATTTTAATGTTTATGCTAAATGTTCCTCATATACTCATTTCCATATCCTGTGTTACATATTTTCCTAATTAATTTTTTCTTTTATAATATTAATTAAATTTTGTGTTTAACTTAAATAGTTTATATGTGTGCATATATAAATTTGAGAGTGGTGAATAATATTTTTTATTTTTTATTAGGAAAAGGAAAAGAAATAAACGAGGATTTGGAAATTGGTTTCAGATATAGCGGATATACTCGTATAAGTATAAAATTATATTTTAAAAATATTTGTTTGGAACAAAATTTTAATAGTAACACTTCTATAGAAGCACCCTTTCGTTTTATTCTGTTTGGTTTCCAGAATTTTATGAAAATTGGAAGCTGTTGTAGTTTTATTCATCAAATTAATTAAAAGAGATCAAAATTATTTTATAATTTAAGAATATTTTTAAATTCTTGATTAATCGGT